AAAAAAATCAATCATAGGAAAATTCTAAAGTGTATAAGCGACGCGTACAGAAGACTCTGCGCGTATGAGAATGGCAAAAATAGAGAGAAAATTCGTCGCATAGCCTTGATACCCCTGAATAGCCTACGTTTTGACCGTCATAGAGGATACATTATCTCCCAAAATCAGAGTAATCTAATTTCAATGTAAATCTCACCTGCATCGAATCTCCCTCTTGAAACACAACTGGCTTCTCCTCTATAGTTAGATCTTGTCCAAGAGTAAGCGAAGTATCCGACAATATCACGGGCAACGGATTGTTTGCGATGGCTGCTGTGACCATTTCAACGGGATTCAGCATGGTGGGGGAATGTGGTGTTTGCACTGGTTCCTGGATTACCTGAAATTAAGCAAAAATCACCACTCTGCTCACAAAATAGCGTTAAAAAACAGCATGCCTTCGGAGTATGGTAAACGACAAACTCGCAATCGCTCTTCAAGATGTCAAAGTCCCAAGTAAGCACACAGCCAGGAGAGGAGACGGACACAACTGCCTTGAAAAAGTAGAGCTATAGTTAGAAGATCGGAAGTTTCCTATGACTTACCTCTACCGGATATCCTCGAGTAACAGAAGCTGTTGTATACATCGAACTCAACACTTCCGCATCGCTGCTAAGTCCTTCAACAGGACGATACTGAGATTTTGGTATATGTCCTCCGGCAGGGCAGTTTGGCAAGCACGTGCCACCTAAAATCACGCAGACTACTTTTTATTCCCAGCCCCTGTTTGCACAAAAATTACCGAGGAAGTCAGGAATATATTGTTCGTCAATATATTTACTTATTTCTCCTTTCACAAAGTCACCACCGTTTATCTTAAACTTGCTCCTAGTGTTGTCATCAATAAATGGTGAGATTAGCGTCCACAGAACTGGAAAGACTCGAGGTGCCCGCACTATCAGCACTTGTCCCATAGTTTCTGGGTAATGAGCCTGAAAAAAAGTTGTTTTATTTTTGAGGAAAAAAAACCTGCACAAATCATTTTGGTATGTTTTCACCTCGACGATCTCGATAATCCGCAATAACGATTGAACGCCAGGTCGCCACAGATGTCTCATACTCAAACCTTCCAAATCGACGAGAAGACTCCATGTGCTAAACAGACAACATTTACTCCATGTTTGAGCAAGAAACCCATATTTCAAATGTGCCACGTAACCGGAAGTCTAGCTACAGCTCAAAAGCTCTTAGCTTTAGGCAATTATTTATGGTACTGTAGTGTTTGACACTGCATGCTTGACTCGGTGGTACTGTGTAAGATCGAAGACAAAAA